CTAGTTTAAAATATCACAGGTTTCATGAGTACGGGCTGAATACCATATTATATGCACTTTAAACTTGCATAAAGAAAGGTGTAAAATATGGGGAAAAGGGAATGAAGATGAATGCTTTTTATCATCATAACTTACCATGCATACCAGAAAGTGGATGATTTTGATATACAAAGGGAACAGTAAAGACTGTTATATCCCCAATACCAAAATATCCCCATGTCGGACTCTAAAATTGAAAATCTGAGGTATTTATATCAAATTTTTTTATAAAGCAAGTTAACTGTTGGGGATTGCTACCTCATATTGACAAATATTAATTGTCCAACTTAAAACTTTAATTTTAATATTAATCCAACTTAAAATTTATTCTAAGCTTTTCAAGTCATCTTTGTTCATGGCAGAATTGTAATATATACTGTGTTAATCCTAAGTATGCATAAAGTTTACAAAAAGTTTTTTCTAAAAAATATATCTTTTGAGCAAAGCCCCATTTTTTGTTTATTTTCTCATGGGTTTGTCTAAATGCCATTATCTGATAGGTCAGAATCATTAGCAGTGTTTATTGTAAGTATTTATAGCAAGTGGTGGTTATCGTTCTTGACTTCCATATTTGGAAATCGTCCAGACCTGATAAATGAACTTAGTCTAGTTGTAGCTTTATACTGTGTAACTCATATATATATATATATATATATATATATATATATATATATATATATATATATATATATATATATATATATATATATATATATATATATATGTGTGTGTGTGTGTGTGTGTGTGTGTGTGTGTGTGTGTGTGTGTGTGATGCCTTGATGTGGTACTTGATGGTTTTTTGTGGTTTTTTTCCCTATTTTTATAAACTGAAACGATTTATCTCTGAAGATGCAATATTTGTTATATATAGTGTCCGATATATTCCCAAAATTATGAAATATCACTTTTTTATTACCTTGATGGTTATATGATTGAGAATCAATATTAAAATAATTACAAGCACTCTCAGTATATGTAAAACACTATCCGTCCATACTTATATTGTTATTAAAATCACCATATTGTTGCCAAATGCTTTGTGATATTTCAAACAAATATGCATTTTGAAAGTTTGGATTTTATTTTATTTAATTTAATTTTTCTTTTACTTTCATGTTTTTTTTTTCAAGGTTTTTGTTTAAGTCTACATTTTTTGCAAGTTTTTTAACTTGACCAGGTGTCCTACTACATAAAATTGTATGTCATTATTTGTCATCTGTTAACATATAAACATGTTCAGCTTGCTTTCAGAAATAGCTGAATGGTCTTTTGTCTCCTCAGTGCCTGAGGTGTAGGGCAAAAAACTGTCAGAATTGAATAAATCTTCAGAAATGTTCAGGAATCTTTTTCTTTACTCCTGGACATCTTGCAGGCAAATTGTTAACATGATTATAATAAGCAATGAGCCAGTATTAGCAAAATTTATGTCCTCTACAAAGGTTGTAAAATTCATGGTGTCTGGGATTAGGCTCCAAGATGGACTAATTCATGTTTTGAAAATGCAATACTCATGTGTACAAACTGTTGACCGTAGTATATATTAAGGTCATCAAAAAATGTCAGCTAACCTAATCGGTTTTTATCAATTTATCTTCGTTCTTGACGATAATGAGTAAGTATATAGGGATGTAATCTAGATGTCAGTTATTGTTGTTTACACACATTTAGGAAAATAAAACAAATTATCTTTAAGGCTTTGCAGTATGATGACCACAACATACATGAATAGTGTTTAGATTAAGACCGTAAATTGCTAAACTAATGACTGTTTACTATATATAGAATCATGCTTTTGTGACAAATCTGATTAATATGTAATTAATTCAGAGTATCAAAATATATAAATTTTCTTTATTATTGTATCCAGAAGTAAACAAGTAATGAACCTTATGGATTTCTTTCACTTTTTTCGTGTTTGAGAGGAAAAAGGTTAACAATAAGCACTATGTCAGTCACTTTATATCGATAATATTTCCATCCCAGAATCAGTGAGAATGTGAATATTGAAGAGAGCAAGATGTGAAAGGGGATGGGGGGAAAGTGAGCCTAACCATCCCCCTTCCTTTTTGTGACAGTAGTTTTTCCTTTATATATTTTCTTTGCTTTTCAGCCTCCACTCCTCTCACTTTTAAATACAAGAACAAGATTTTTGAAAGGGAACCTCGATTCCCCCACTCATTTTGTGACAATAGTTTTTCCTTTTTTAATTTGCTTTTCAATCCCCACTGACTCCACCCACTTTGAAATATTAGACTAGCAGCTGAATTATCTAATTATAGATTTTTATTTTATTTTATTTTTTTTTTTTTTTGGTTGTATTTCTGTAATTGAAGAGATGTTAATATATAGTTAAGGGTTAACCAATTTTGAGCCAAAGGCTCAAAGAGCTAATGCTATGGCAATTTGTGTGATTTGCATAAAGTTATTAAAATATATATGGCATGCCAAATTCACAAAAATGAGCTAGACATAGTTTCTCTGCTGACAAACTAGGTTTATCGACTGCAAACTATAGTTTACGAACCTTTCACTATAGTTAATGACGTTAATCTATGTTTCACATCTCTAAATCACAGTGAACACCTTATTCTATGTTTCATAAGTGTAAACAATATTAAACAATGAAAACAGTCGTTCGCAATTGTGAAACATACATAGTCTGAAAAATACAGTTCCAGGATTTGTAAACTGTGGTTTACAACTCTAAACTATTGTTAACGAATGTTAGATATAGTTTACGGTTGTAAACTATAGTTTACAGATGTTTAAGGTGCCAATTCACAAAATTGTGATAAACATAGGCACGGCCTTTCCCTATGGATGCAATGACAATGTCGATAGTGTTGGGAATCTTTCCAGTCCACAGTGTAACAATGTAAATGGGCATCGGTCTTACAATAAACCTTTAATACAGGATGTCTCTTTTTGATTCGTTACTAGCTTATGTAAATCAACAGTAGGTCTTCATCACATTAGCACTGAACTTTACTCTGTCCCTTTGAAACTTTTAAATAGTCTTCTTGAAAAGGTCAAGGAAAGTCCATTGTTTGATTCCTCGACACCAGAATACAGGCTCAGATCTGTGGTTATGGATATTGCAAATCTTTTTCAACTGCCATGTTTTACAGAAGAAAATGCAGCTAAAACAACCCGTTTTTTTACTTAAACTCCAATATGCCAACAAAGGAATTGACGCGGTTAATATAAATGATATTCTTAATCACAAAAGGGTCCAGTCTTGTATTCCACCATATTTCAAGTTGAAGATACACTTTGTATTTCCTACAAATATACATCGACTATTGCTTCCAAACTTTTTAATTACAAGAAAACTTTACAGAGCCTGGATATTGAGCATCTGATGCATAATTCTCCTTCCTGTTCATGTTCTTCTTCACCCTACAACCATAGTTCTGCTGGACACGTCATTACTGGTGACGTAATTATAGTTAATATTGAGGACCTTAAATCATTAATTTCAAAAGGGCCTTAATTTAGGGAACCCCGATCTTTTAACTGACGTCAAAATCTCATAAATATTATAAATTCTGTGGAATATTACGCCAGGCGATGGGCCAGACATGAAAAAGAAGACATTGACACGTCAAAATGGATTAAATGTATCGGATGTATGTTAAAATCTCGCATTAAGCGATTGAGGGGCAAATGAAAACCAACTACCCTTCTGTGTTTGATAATTCAGAAGTGACAAAAGAATTAAATAGATTACAAAATCAGTATGTACTGGTCCCTGCTGACAAAGCAGGTAACAACATTGGCTTTGTTTGTAAGGCTCATTATTTAAATTGTATTTCAGAAGATGCAGCTAGTGAGATCGTCAAAAAATGTCAAATGATGTCACTTCCAGCCAAACAGGAAGTACTCAAAATTGCTAATTTTTACAGATATTGGCAATGAATTGAATAATGAATGTCACAGGGGACGTTCGATCGTATTTCCTATCGAATACTGTCACTTTCAATCACTTCTGGTTAAACTGGAAGTTGCCAGAAATGACTTACTTTGCAGATATTGACATAAAATTAAATGATTAACATCACCCAAGACTTTCGACTTCATTTTCTGTCAATTTGCGTCACTTCTGGTCGAACCGGAAGTAGTCATAAATTGCTTTATATCAAGAATATCAGCTTAGATTTCAACCATAAAAATATACTAATGACAGATCGACATCATTTTTGGTCTAGTGGCCTTCTTGATTATGATTGGGTTACTTTCATTTACCAAGAGGGTTACTTTGTCCGGAAGTGTTATCAAAAACCACTGTACAAAGAAGTATAAAATTTTCAGTGATGATAAAGCAACCTTTGAAGAAGTGAATTTCCTATATCATTACCACCAGACGTACGAAACGCCTACGCTCGCTATGGCCCGAAAATAGTCTTATCGAGAACATCAAATTTCTAACACCTTTTCTACAATATCTTTCTACATGGAGTAGACGAAAACATTAGGGTTAAACGCGTCAGTCGTCACTTCCGGTCAACACAGAAAGTGATCAAAGAAATCGGAAATTTTAACTTTTCTTTTCTAAATTAAAACTTACATCACTTTATTGCATCTCTTTCGCTGTTTTGAAATATGTTAGATTCCACCGGAAACAAAAACGTCAACTTCCGCTTTTAAGAGATAAGCTACGTTATTTCGATGTTTAATTTTCTCATGAATATCACTGATAGATAAAATATTTAAAATGATTTTATATATTTCGTAGATACTACAAATGTCTAGAGAATCGTCAGAGATTTTTATACAATTCACGGTCTCGTGTTTTCCTGTCCTCAAAATTAGAATTTGTTCTCACAATGGCTCGGTAACAGTAAGTCTAGAACTTTTAGGACTGATAGTCAGTCATCAATTTATTTGCATCGTGTGAAAATCACGTCTCGTTATTACTTCCGGTCGTGACAGGAAGTGATGAAAACAGCGAATTTTTATAGTTATTTTGTTTCTACATAAGTTTTAGGCTTATATCGATGCTAAAAAAGGACATAAAACAGGAAGTAGTATAACAGAAGACCTTCTCATTACTTGCAGTGAGTATCTAGTTAAGGTCTTCTGTCTTCCCGGAAGACCTTATAGTGATTCTACTGTTTCTTATTATTATTAGCTCACCTGAGCTGAAGGCTCAAGTGAGCTTTTCTGATTGAAATTTGTCCGTTGTCTGTCGTCGTTGTCGTAAACTTTTCAAATTTTCATCTTCTTCTCAAGAACCACTGGGCCAATTTCAACCAAACTTGCCACAAAGTATCCTTGGGTAAAGGGAATTCAAGTTTGTTCAAATGAGGGCCACGCCTTCTTCCAAGGGGAGATAATTATGAATTCATGAAAAATTAATGGCATCATTTAAAAATCTTCTTCTCAAAAACCAATGTGCTTGAAAATATGAAACTTATATGGAAGCATCCTCAGGTAGTGTAGATTCAAGTTTGTTCAAAGCATGACCCCCGGGGGTAGGGTGGGGCCACAATGGGCGATCAAAGTTTTGCATAAGAAAACATAGGAAAAATCTCTCCTAGGCTTCTTTGGGGTGCTAGTTAGAGGGGTCGTGGGAGGGGCCTGCCGTTTCCCCAATGCCAATGCCGGTGTTGTAGATGGGTCTACTTTTGTCTGAAGTGTAGGAATAGCATCCCTGTTGAGGTCTCTTCTGTTCACCTTCACCCCCATGGATTCCAAAATCCTGTACTTTGCAGGGTAGGCATCCTCAGCGAAGTGAACAGAGCACAACGTGGACGTCTTCGAGGGGCCCTTCCAATTCTTCCTGTACTGTTCAACAAACTGCATCCATCTACGCAAAATGGCAGGTCTGTCAAAGGGAAAATAATGCAGGCTGATTCCCTCCATCTTTGTGTTGCTGCAGCCTCCAGCCACACATCGTCTTCCTCTGGAATCTACTCTGGGGACAGGGGTCTCCGTCATCCTCAGTTTATTCGGAAATATCACAATAATCCAACTGAATATATGCTAAAAACTAATTCTACATAAAACTACACACTAATACTACAGTCACTATACAACAAAAGTTCACAAAAGTCACTACAAATTTAAATAAAGCTCTTAAAACGTCCTCGTAAATTCAACGCTTTCCTTTGTTTTCAAAATGGCGGTCCACACAGTGACGTCACACTGAAACAAGGGCCAAAACCGCGCGATTCAGAAAATCGCTCAGGTGTGAATTTGGGTTTTCCCCAAATATCTCCGTTAATCGTGCATCAATTTCGATGCGGGTTTTTTTGTTGGGTTTATTTCGCCGTGTTCTTTAACATATAAAAGAATTGCAATTCATTTCTGTTACCCTTTAAAAAGCTTCTTCCCAAGAACAGCAAAGCCATGATGGGTCATATTTATATGGAAGCATCCTCAGGTAGTGTAGATTCAAGTTTGTTCCAGTCATGACCCCGAGGGGTAGGGTGGGGACACAATGAGCGATCAAAGTTTTACATAGGAATATATAGGAAAAATCTTTAAAAATCTTCTTCTTAAGAACAGCAAACCCATGATGGGTCATATTTATATGGAAGCATCCTCAGGTAGTGTAGATTCAAGTTTGTTCAAATCATTACCCCAGGGGGTAGGGTGGGGCCACAATGGGCGATCAAAGTTTTGTATAAGAAAACATAGGAAAAATCTTTAAAAATCTTCTTCTCAAGAACAGCAAAGCCATGATTGGTCATATTTATAGGGGAGCATCCTCAGGTATTGTAGATTCAAGTTTGTTCAAATCATGATCCCCTGGAGAATAGAGGGGCCATAACAGGGGATCATACAAGGAAATGCAAAGGATATATCAATCAAAATTTTCTTCTCAAGAACAGCAAAACCATTATTTGTCATATTAATTCAAAAGCATCCCTATGAAGTTTAGATTCAAGTTAGTTCAAATACCCCCCCCCCCCCATTTATAGGGAAGCATCCTCAGGTAGTGTAGATTCAAGTTTGTTCAAATCATGAGCCCCGGTTGAAGGATGGGGCCACAATGAGCGATCAAAGTTTTACATAGGAATATATAGGGAACATCTTTAAAAATCTTCTTCTCAAGAACAGCAAAGCCATGATTAGTCATATTTAAATATTAGGTAATGTAGTTTCAAATTTGTACAAATCATGGTCCTCTGGAGAATAGAGGGGCCATAACAGGGGATCATACAAAGAAATACAAAGGATATATCAATCAAAATTTACTTCTTAAGAACAGCAAAGCCATTATTTGTCATATTAATTGAAAAGCATCCCTATGAAGTTTAGATTCAAGTAAGTTCAAATACCCCCCCCCCCCCTCCGAACCAGTTTTATATTTAAACTTTTCAAGACTGAACTGATTTCTGCTTTTTCCTAGCCAGAGTGCTCAGGTGAGCGATGTGGCCCCTGGGCCTCTTGTTAAGGTCTTCAGACTTCCTTCGGAAGACCTTATTGTTTTCCGTCTGTTTTCTATTATTAAGATCTTCTGTTTTCATGGAAGACCTTATAGTGATTCTACTGTTTCTTATTAAGGTGTCTTCTGTCTTCAGGGAAGACCTTGTAGTGATTCCACTGTTTCTTATTACTAAGGTCTTCTGTTTTCATGGAAGACCTTATAGTGATTCTACTGTTTCTTATAATTAAGGTCTTTCGTCTTCACGGAAGACCTTATAGTGATTCTACTGTTTCTTATTATTAAGTCTTCCGTTCACAACGGAAGACTTATAGTGATTGTATTGTTTCTTTTTAATATTAAGGTCTTCGGTCCTTACGGAATACCTTATAATGATTCTACTGTTTCTTATTAAGGTCTTCGGTCTTCATGGAAGACCTTATAGTGATTCTACTGTTTCTTATTATTAAGTCTTCCGTTCACAACGGAAGACTTATAGTGATTGTATTGTTTCTTTTTAATATTAAGGTCTTCGGTCCTTACGGAATACCTTATAATGATTCTACTGTTTCTTATTAAGGTCTTCGGTCTTCACGGAAGACTTTATAGTGATTCTACTGTTTCTTATTAAGTCTTCCGTTCACAACGGAAGACTTATAGTGATTGTATTGTTTCTTTTTATTATTATTATTAAGTCTGCCGTTCACAACGGAAGACATATAGTGATTGTATTGTTTCTTTTTATTAAGGTCTTCCGTCTCCACGGAAGACCTTATAGTGATTCTATTGTTTCTTATTAAGGTCTTCCGTTTCAGACGGAAGACCTTATAGTGATTCTACTATTTCTTATTAGGGTCTTCCGACTTCAGCGGAACCCCCTTCTATTATTCTTCGGTTTCTTTTTTACCTTTATTAGGGTCTTCCGTCTTCAGCGGAAGACCCTTCTATTATTCTTCGGTTTCTTTTTTACCTTTATTATTATTCTTTTTTCTTCTTACAAAATTTGTGCAGACGATTTCTCGGAGATGGCTCGTTCGATTTCATTCAAATTTTCATGGTAGATGCGTTGACATCTGAAGTTAATTCCGGCAATTTCGTTAAGTGATATTTACTTCCGGTCGGAAGTTATCGCCCTTTTATCAACATTTAGAGGACCTCCTTGTCTGCGATGGAACTCAAAAACGGCTTAAGCTAGATCGCTGAAATTTTCAGTGATGATAGAGGACATGTTGCCATTTTGCACCTGGGTTTGGATATTTTCCGGAAGTGCCTAGTATGGAAACTCGGTAGGGGTCGAAATTTAGGACACGAATCATGAGTGAATTTTTGAGACATTTTATATCATATCTTTTAAAGTATAATTAATTTGTTAAAACATATTGAACAAAATTTGTGCAGAATGACAAGATCTGTAACATGATATCAAGAAAAAAGCGCTGACTCATCACATTATGGGCCGATAGGGGCCAAAAGTCTGAAATCGATAACTCTTAAACAAGCATTATTTTGGTATACTTTACTGAAGCAATAATATTTATCTTAACAATTTACAATTATATATTATGATTTTTACCTCGTATGGCACATAATTAGGGGCCACAAGGGGCCAGAATGCTAAATCTTTGACGCTTTATATCTCGAAAAGGGGAAACATTTTGAAAAGCAATATTGAACAAAAGTTGTTTAGAATGATGGTCTCAACAATGTGCACCCTTTGAATTTTTCCTAAACAGTCCCTATAAGGACTTAAAGGGACGGCCCCTAAATATTTCAAGTCCACATATCTCGAAAACGAAATGAAACTTCTGAATACTTGTTGAACAAAAAGTCTTCAGAATTACAAGACCTTTCATGTGATATCAAGAAAAAGGGGCTGACCCCTCAAATTAGGGGCTCAAAGGGGCCAAAAGTCTTTCATCTATAACTCCTTAACGTTAAATATTTTGATATTAGTTATTGAAGCAAAAATGTTCATCTTCACAATCTGCAACTATATATCTTAAAATTTTCATCAAATAATACGTAATTAGGGGCCATAAGGGGCCCGAATGCTTAATCTTTGACGCTTTATATCTCGAAAAGGGGAAATATTTTGAAAAGCAATATTGAACAAAAGTTGTTTAGAATGATGGTCTCAACAATGCGTATCCTTTGAATTTTTCCTAAACAGCCCCTATAAGGACTTTAAGGGACGGCCCTAAAATATTTCAAGTCTACATATCTCGAAAACTAAAGGAAACTTCTGAATAGTTGTTGAACAAAAAGTCTTCAGAATTACAAGACCTTTCATGTGATATCAAGAGAAAGGGGCTGACCCCTCAAATTAGGGGCTCAGAGGGGCCAAAAGTCTTTTATCTATAACCCTTTTACAGTAATGTTCATCTTCACGATCTGCTACTGTAAATATTTTAAAATCTACATCAAACATTGCGTTTTTAGGTGTCATAATGATCAAAATTTTGTTAAACATAACTGAAGCAAATTGTACGTTTTCACTATTTATATATTTATGAACGAAAATCTCAGTCAAATTCCTATCTCATCTTATCAAAAATCGGACGGAAGACCCACTCGTTGCTCGCAACGAGATCGCATCTAGTTATTAGGGTCTTTCGTCTCCAACGGAAGACCCTTCTATTATTCTATTGTTTCTTTTTCACTTTTATTATTATTATTCTTTTTTTTTCTTTACAATTTTTGTGCAGAAGATTTCTCGGAGTTGGCTTGATCGATTTACTTGAAATTTTCAGGGAAGATGTATCTTTGTCTGAAGCTTATACGTTTTTCTCATTTTTTTGAAATTCACTTCCGGTCGGAAGTTATCGCCCTTTAATCAAAATTCAGAGGACCTCCTTGTCTGCAATGGAACTCAAAAACGAGTAAAGCTAGAGTGCTGAAATTTTCAGCGATGATAGAGGACATGTTGCCATTGATCACCTGGGTTTTCAAATCTTCCGGAAGTGCCTAGTATGGAAGCTCGGTAGGGGTCAAAATTTAGGAAGCGAATCATGAGTGAATTTTAGAGACATTTCTTACGATAACTTTTTAACTATGAGTATTTTGTTAAAACATATTGAACAGAAATTGTGTAGAATTACTAGATCTTTTATATGATATCAAAGAAAAAGGGCTGACTCATCACCTTAGGGGCTGAGAAGGGCCGAAAGTCTTTAATCAATAACTCTTTAACGATCAATATTTTGTAATGCATTACTGAAGCAAAAATGTTTACCTCAACAATTTACAAGTATATATTATAATATTAACATCATATGTTACATAAATAGGGGCCATAACGGGCCAGAATGCTAAATCTTTGACGCTTTATATCTCAAAAGTGGGAAATATTTTGATAAGCAATATTGAACAAAAGATGTCCAAAATAATGTTCTAAACAAGATGCAAACTTTCATTTTTTGCTAAACGTCCCCATTAAGGAGTTGAAGGGCTGGCCCCTAAATACTTCTTTTGTAAATATCTCAGAAACGAAAAAGAATTTCTGACTAGTTGTTGAACAAAAAGTGTTCAAAATTATGAGAGCTTTAAAGTGATATGAAGAAAAAGGGGC